CACAGAGGTTTAAAGCACAATACTAAGAAGCTAAAAACACTTTAGCATGAGTTCAATCCCAGAGTGGGAGGTGATCCACATGGCGCAACACATCTCTTCTGACCCGCCTGCTGCTCCCTGAGCACTGTACTTTGTTGACCTGCCTGTTCTGCTCCCCACTCTGTCTCTGGTGAAGCCTCTCATGGTGCCTGCATCTCTGGCTGGTACCCCAGTTCTGTATGCATAAATAAATAAATCTTTTTTTAAAAAAAGTAAATAAAATAAAATAAATTATAAATGGAGTGCTTAATCAACCTGGCATATTTGTGTAAAAGTGTTAGCTACGTCCTTAATGTTCCTTAAAAGAAAGTTGAAATTTAAATAAATGTATTACCAGCTTTGGTCTTCCACATAAACATATCTATCATGACCTCTCAAATTTCAATGTATTAATATAATCAATTTCTGAATCAAAAGAGGGAATCGTTTTAAGAAATCTTTAATTTCATTGACCTATAATATCCAAAATGTACACAGTTGTCAATAGTCATATTTGTGAGCTAATTTTCCTGAAATTTGGCTCTCATCCAAGTTCATTAAAATTCCTAATTGTAATATATTCACTGGCTTCAGCAGGTTTTTGATGGCTGAGTTGTCATTGACGTAAAGCTTTTCTTACATTTTACGAAATTTTTACATATTGACTAGATTCATTTGAATGTAAAAATTGTACAAATTGTTTTGTTTTCATTTTTCTCCAACTAAGAATTATTTTTGGTAGGATGGGAAAGATAAAAATGTGCATAAATGTTTTCAGATGAGTAATATGTTGAAAACAATTCTCTTCACTTAGAAATGTTTATATGAGTTTCCTATAAAGGTTAGCAATGCTAGTCAAGAAAATGAAGAGTTATGTTAGCTAATGTAAGCAGACAAAAGTAACCTATCCACACCATAAGTTATTGTTGATTTTTTTTTGCAACTTACAGATACAGCAAGTTTTCAAGTCCTTCAAAAGCATTTCTGGAAATCTTTCTGATTTGGTTGTTGTTCAGGAGACTAAGAAAACAAAAACAAGCATGATTTTAAAAATGAGAAACAGATTCTGCAAACATTTACTAGTGCTAGTAGAATGGTTCACTAAATTTAGCAATTTTTTTAATTTTGTATTTAAAAATGCTATATTATGTTTGTCAGAAAAGATATTCCAAACTTTATATTAATTAAATTTTTAAAATACCCCTAAAAGAGCATAATAAGTCCAAGGATAAATTTTTTGTTTTCCTGGAACTTATCATTTAATAGGAAAATTGTTGATGTCATCACAGTAACAAAGAAATATATTCCTCAATAAACTGATGGGGAGTTACATACATTCAGGCTTAAACATTTTCTTGGAAACACAAATATTGTAGTTTTTGGTACACAGAGAACTCTCACTGTATATTTGTTGAACTGTCAACCCAAGAGTCAATTACAAAATAGGAAGTAAAGCTCTTATAGTGCTACCAAGTGGTCCAAAAATTACTTTGAAAAAATCCAGGAAGAAAAATAACAGGTGGCAGAAGTAAATTGGATTTGAACAGTAAAACAAGTTACAAATCATCAGCTTCACACTGCTTTCAAAGGCTTGGGAAAAGTAACTCTGGTGAATAAAAATTATAGATTTTCTATTGAATGCTTTAAAAAATAATTTCATATTTAAATTATTGACAAGCCTCTATGTGTAAGGAATCTCAGATAATTGAGTCAACTGCTAGAGGATTTATTATAATTTATTACAAAATAGTTGTTTATGACCAATAAGGGAAACAAGTGTTTTTGTACATTGATTCATTATACACTATTGCTTAGATAGCCTAGATATTCTGACCAAACTCAACTGCTCCAAACTTAATCGTTAAATGTCTACTGAAAAAGCTCAACCACACAATTCCAAAAGCAATGTTGGAAGTTGTTATTTGAACTTCCATGCATGGAACCAAAGTCACCATCTCATCACTTATACTTAACTAGTACTCTGGTTATTGATAGGTGGGATGAAGAACAAGCAATATGCAGTAAATGTTTGAGCTAATGCCATAGAGAGTTCCATTTCTGTGGATAAATTTTAGCTTCAGTCAATGATCCAGTAGACTTTATAATCCACCATACGTTGAAGTAATCTTCACTGGTTGAAAGCAATAAGGTATTAACTAGTTAGTACTAAATACAAATGTTATCCTGAGAGTATTTCTGGTTTATTTTCTCTGAACACTCAATCTATTGTTCAAAGCCCATTACTGCACTTAAAGACTTCAAACTACCTATAAATATTTTTACTTAATGACTATTCTGTTCCCAAGTTTTATTAAATACATGTACCTATGTGTGTAGAAAAGGTAATGTATGGATAAACACATATATGAAAGTATTTGTGAGCATCTCTGTGTGCACGTGTGCATTTATGTATACATGTATCACCTGTGTGTGGACTGTGTACCTTCTCTGCCATATTGTATATTTGTTGTATGTTGTGTGTATACACTCTTGATCTCATCTTACTCATTAAACACAAGTTTTTTTTTTTTTTTTTTTAATCCTCACAAGTATGGCCTCTGGGAGTGAAGCTAATCCATTTCATGCAAAGATTAGTTTTGGCATTAGCCCATAAATCTCTTTCCATATTTCAATTGAGAATGGAAAAGAAAACTACATAACACATTTCATCTTCCATCAGTACACAAAATGTGCTGGAATCCTATGGTTGTGCACATTCTTTTCTAACAATTGCTCTAAAGTTGTTTATATTTCTTTAACTTTGTAAAACAATGTTAATAATCTAAAATACAAAACCAAACATCTTGACTGACAGGTTTTGTGGGAAGTAGTTTTATTGCTAGCAAGAAACAAATTCATTAAAATGGCTCACAGTTGAATGTATTTTCCAATCTTAAGTACATAGTCTTATAAAGGTTTTTCAAAGTATTATGGTTTCCATCATCATATTTTTGTTATAATTTTATGACATGGAACAACTTCCTAACAGTGTTTTGGTTAAGTGGTTATAGACACTGACATTTGTATTTTCTTTTCATTTTTGATATTGCACATAAATTTATGAATGATGCTTTTGAAATTCATATCATAAAACAATACCTAACATCCTTTAAACAAGTGCAAATTTGAGAAAATATATGTTTGTACTCTATGTCCTAACATTACCTATAATACCAAAGAGAAAAATAAAAGAAGCAAAATTCCCAAAGGGAAAAAAAAAGCTATATTTTAAAGAAATAATTCCCAGAGGTAGGAGCCTTACTACCCTGAATACCAAAACCTTGGGGGGAGAAAAGGAACCAAAAATAAACCAATGAGCCTATTTTACTAATTTCTTTTGTTGCTGATACTGTGTCTTACACAGTGTATACAGGTTTCTGTACTTTTGATATTATATAACTGTATCTTTTGTGGTGGAAATATTTTGTTATAAAATAACAAGTAGATTCTAGGAAATGAAGGGTTTCCCCATATTTATTACATATTATTTATGTATTAATCAAAGTGGAAAGAAGCAAAGCAGAGCTCTCCCATCTACCACATAATTTCCATTCCAGATAATGCCATTCCATTCCAGATAAAGAGGTAGGAAATTTTTGAGGGACAAAATTAGGAAGTTTCCCAAATAATGGAACATAGATTTCTGGAGGACAGGTGGGACTTATCTAAAGAAGAGAATGAAGGAACAAGATAAATAGGGAATATACACAGATGTAGAGGTCTGTAATTGCCAGAGGGCATCAGAGATGTTTTCAACTTGGAGGTGGGCTTCAGTTAGAAGCAAAGAGAAATTTTGGATGTCCTTGTAAGCTCACTTAAGCCAACCTTCTTATTTTGTAAAATCTGAAGACTAATTAGAACCCTTTAGTCAAAAGAATAATAACAAAATGGTATATGCAAGTATCAATCTGACAATAGGATGGAAATAGTGGCTGGGGATGTAGTTTTCTTTTGATTGCAAGGAATTGGTAAAGGAAGCTGGAGTAAATGTACATTAGTTATTTTTGTTTGTACCTGGATTTCATTCCTTCCCCTTTTCCACTGATACATGTGCTGTCCTATAGTGACTTAAATGACGATGGGTCCCTGGTTTCCAGTTAATTTCAGTCAATAAAGACAACAACCAAATATTGAAAGAGTAAAATGGAGGCACACACTCCCCTACTTTATTCCTGCAGACTAACATAGGACACCCTGCTTCAATCTAAAGATCACAGTTTCTATTAAGTGCCTTTCTCTGTATCACTATTTCTAGCTCTGATTTTTATTTCATACCAGTATCTTTTCAGAAGTAATATAGCCTTGTAGCAATGAAATCTACTTCTTCTGGTGTTTTCTACACCATATTCAATCCTTGAAGTGGTCCCATTACTGAACTCTCTTCAGAATGGCCATTTCTTTGTGTTAGTATTCACCACTAGACCCTGCCTGTTACAGGAAGTTATTGGTATAATCTAAGGGTAAGGACCTATATTAAGGTTGTAGATAAAAAGATCTAAAGATTATAGGTAAAAATCAATCACATTTGGTGTCAATTGAAGGTGACAACATAAATAATTATCAACATTTATTCCCAAATTTCAGGTATTGATTGCTGGGAGTATGCTACTACCATCACTCACCAAGAAGGGATATATAGTCACAGCAATATAGAGGATATTGTGCCTGAATTTGTAAGAGACTTCAGAGCATGAAAGTATAAATGTCATTATTTGGGTTTTCTTTAGGCTAGAAATTTAAGAAATTCTATCTAGGAAAAATAACCACATTCACTTGTGTTCACATCTATTTTTGTATTTATGTGTGTGTGTGTTTTTATATATACATGTGTGTGTGTGTGTGTGTGTGTGTGTGTATGTGCATGTGTGTGTGTGTATATATGTGTGTGTACCCTATATGTATATATATGTATGTATGTATATATAGATGTATGTGTGTATGTATGTATGTATGTATGTATGTATGTAGACACAATTTCACATGAATGTAAGGAAGTTCTAAGAGGAGTCAGAAGGTTGCACTGTTAGAGAATTACTAAGGAAACTAAAGAAGTATCACTCAAAAACATAATTTATCAATTGAACAATTGGCCAAATGTCATCTCAATTTTCCAAACTTTAAAATAAAAGTGTCCATAAAATTTAAAAGCAATATGATTTTAACTGGCCATTTCTTAAAATCAGATGATATTAAAAGATAGCATTTGGCACTATAGATTTAGGCATTTTAATTTGCAAAAGGCTAATAGGAGTTACCCAAAATTTAGTACAAATGAAACACAAACTCTATAAATCTCTTAATTAACTTCAAAATCAAAATTGCATTATTCAAGTATGATGTTTTTCTATTAAATTTCCCAAGTTTTTTGTTCTCTCGATACCACTGGAAATAGCAAAACCAAAAAGAATACTGGAATTCCATCTGGTTTTCAAATGTGCCTGGTGAAGTTTAAATAAATACAAAAAGGTATTGCTTCTGGATCAGAAAGTGAAAGGAAATACACCAAATGTCAGCAATATAATGTTCTCTGGGTGTTAGGGCTTTATGTATTATTTTAACATATTAATTTTCTGTATATTGCAAGATGGTTTTAACAAGTATGTGTTAATTTTATAGTGAAATAAGCATACTATTTAATAACATAAATGATGGGTGGACTTCAGAAATATCTGCTAGCTCTACTCTTCTACTGACAATGAAAACAGGAAATAAAAAGCCAACAAGGTTTGAAAACGGTCTTCCTTACTTTCTGACTCTAGTGGAAAATATATATATAGAGAGAGAGGAGTCATCTACCCCAGCCTTATTCAAATACAAAGATTTCCAAGTAGTTATGAAGGTCTATTGAAGAAAATTCCACTGCTTTGAAAGTCACTGCTTCTTTTTTGGTTGCCAAGTTCCAGCTCCCCATTGAGGCATTGTGCAAGGAAAATGGACTTCTGAACTCCCAGGTGCTACCTCTCTCTACAAAGCTGCCAATCACCAGGTCCTCCATATGACAGCAGCAGGACTGAAGCTAA